CTTTTTCTCTGCGTCCAATTTTCTGTCAGCTCCTCTCCTTCCCTTTCTCCCTCGCTCTTCTCTTTCTCTTCCTCGGTCCCCCTCTGAAGGACAATTGGTCTCATTCAATATGAGGAACTGGAGGCAAATCAAACTTTGCTGCATAAGTGGATACAGGGTGAGGGAGGGAGGGAGGGAGTGATGCAAAGGGAATTGAAATCGACTAGCACTCAATGTCAGAATGCCAATCGAGATCAGCGTCACACTGTATAGAAAATGAAGGCTGCTTTAATAAGAGCACAACTCTATTCAACTCTGCTGCGAAACACAACCCTGGAAGGCTAAAACACGGGAACACACGCGGTTATTTGCGCTTTTACAACCTTGGATTAAAGACCACATGACTCCAGAAGCGAGACCTTTGAGATGACACGCCGTCTGAACTGTGACTGTGTTTGCTGACATGCAGAAGGGAGAAGGAGGAGGGTGTAATTGACCAGTTATAGCCACTGGGAGAGGTTAATTGAGGCGTTCCTGCGTGTGAAGGTGGGGGAGTTTCAATTAATGTTGTGAAGGTTGCCATCAGAGACAACGCCGCATGAACACCAAGTCCATTAAGGGTTTAATCAGCGCTGGCATTCAGGTGCAACACATATAGGCCTGCTTCTAATAGACTTCATTACGCTGAAAAGTAGCCAAGGCAAGGTGAAACAAGTGCTGAACAAAGAGGATCTGTGTAAACAAAAATACACCTGGATCTGTATTTAGACAGAAAACCAGTCGAGCTCCAGTAAGGAGTTTTCAATGTTTATAAAAGTGACTTAAATTCAAAGTGAGGTAGATTGCCTTCTTTGGGTCAGAGGGAAGGTCCAACCTCAAGTGGAGGAGTTCAAGTATCTCGGGATCTTGTTCACGAGTGAGGGTAGGATGGAGCGGGAGATCAGCAGGTGGATGGGAGCGGTGTCAGCAGTGATGCAGACGCTTAACCGATCCGTCGTGGTGAAGAAAGAGCTGAGCCGTAAGACGACACTCTCGATTTACCGGTCAATCTACGTGCCGACCCTCACCTCTGGTCATGAACTTTGGGTAATGACCAAAAGAACAAGATCGCGGATACAAGCGGCTGAAATGGGTTTCCTTCGCAGGGTGGCCGGGCTCAGCCTTAGAGATAGGGTAAGGAGCTCGGACACTCGGGAGGCGCTCAGAGTAGAGCCACTGCTCCTCCACGTCGAGAGGAGGCATCCAGAGGGCATCTGGTTAGGATGCCTACTGGGCGCCTCCCGTTAGAGGGGATCCAGACATTTCCCACCGGGAGGAGACCTCGTGGCTGGGCCAGGACCAGGTGGAGTGATAATATCCCTCGCCTGACCTGGGAGCGCCTGGGAAGTGAACTGGGAGGAGCTGGAAGTAGCTGGGGTGAGGGTCGTGTGGGCTTTCCTCCTTAAGCTGCTGCCCCCACGACCCGGATGAAGCGGAAGAAAACGATGACGACAAACTGAGCATAACCACCGGCAGACAGGTTTAACTATTTGTAAATTTTAAAGAAATTTAAATTTGTAAAGTTTTAATCCCTGAAACCAGTCTGAGAGGGTCGGTAGCTGAAGGAACAGCTGTTTTTACATTTTTCGATAAATTATTCCCAATAAAACTCAAAGTTGATTGTCAAAAGCCGGCATGAGAAGATTGTTTTCCGTTAGAAACTACTTTGGCTTATAGAGGATGAGATAGGTAATGACTCTATTGTCCACAGGGGGCGCCAAAGTCAACACAAACTAAAGGTTCCTCTCAGGAGCTTTATTTCGTTCTAGTGTATCGGCTCAGTCGTGATGTTTGTGGATATGAAAGAGGAACATTCTTTACAAGAATTCATTAAATATTGAAAACCACCATGCCTGTAGAAATCTTCAGCCTTGATATTTCTTTGATTAAACACTTTGATGGTTAAATAATAATATAAGACAAATTTAAAAAAGTACTTTGGCGAACTTTGACTCCCTTTGAAAGGATCTGTGAAAGGCTGTTTTCTTTTACCATTCCTCTACAACTCTGACTTACTTTTAAATTAACTGTAAAACACTTCACTCGTGGCTTTTCTTCCACTCTTTGTAGTCTTTAAAAAGTAAAATAAAAGAGTTTGGTTTATTCAGCGCTTTTAGAGGAAGAAATGAGAGCCAATGCTTCTTATTCACTCGTCGGTGTGCGAGTTTTGGAAAGTTTAAGTAAATCATTTGAGTTATGGTCGAAATTTCTTTTGACTTGGGAGACTTTTTGAATTTTTGTGTATTTCAAAAATGTCGGGGGAACTTTTGGGATCAGTAGGGCAAATTATTCAAGAATACCTGACCTTGATGCATTGTAAGCAGTATCCCTTATGTGGTAAATTTACTGTGAAATGATGAATCTTCTAAAAAGAATCCGTTTAACCTTTGATTCATTTTTATCTCTTAAGATGACTTCAGTTTAGTTTTCGAAACTCGGCCCCTGGATAAAAATGTCCAAATTAAAGTTCTTGGATTAAATTTCAAATATCAAACTTTTAAAAGTTGGCTCTTCACTTTTTTTTTTTTTTATAAGTTTATCACCTTGAATTAAAGAGAGACTGACAACATAAAAAAATAAAAACACTTTTACTATGAAAAATAAAAGTCATTTGAAGATTTTTGGTGCTTCTTTTGTAGCCGAAAGTACGACAAAATGAGGTGTTGAACTTTTCATAAACAAGTAATTAGCACTGTATGCCCCTTCAGAAAAGCCTCTGACTCTCTATTTGCATGAATAAAAGGCTTTTGTAAATTTTTGTGTATTTGCAATTTTATTTCGAAAAATCTAATAGACTTTTTTTTTTTTTGCACAAGGTGAGCATATACTTATCAAACAGTGACCAACCGTTAGCAAACCAAGGCCAAGCTTATAAAAGAGCTCCCAGGTGAAGGGCTGGAGATGAATCTACAGCAAACGTTGCAACTGCTCAAACAAAGACCAGAAGTTACAGAAGGTCAACCTGGCTCTGACTCCACTTTCATAATCTGTTGACATGTGAATGCACTAGCAATGTTTAAATTGCATGTTGCATATATTCTTGAGGTGTGGCGGCTTTTATCTAGCTGTGGTGGTCGAATAGGCAAGGCTGATCTGCCCACAGCTCCACCACCCACTCCTCTTTCTGGTTGTCCACTTTCGATTTTTTCACGCTGGTAATTCAACTTCGTTCTTCTCCTTGTTTCGACTGTTAGGTTTCTTTGTCCGCTTTTGTCAGAGCTCACCTATTGGTTGTTGGTTGTGTTACAAAACTGCGACTTGCGATAATATCAACTCCAAGACTAGGAAAAGACTGATATGAAACAGCGCAGATGACCACCTTACACTTAACGGAGATGACGGTAGCGCACTGTGACTCCAGTAAAACTAGATTTACTTAAAGGGATATTCTGGTGTAAAATCAAGTTAAGGGAAAACACACCAAAACACTTAGTCAGACACTCCCATCGAGAGATGAATGTTGCCGACCGCTTGCTTCTCTAGTTATACCAACTTTAGTAACGACCGAATGATAGCAATACAGAGAGCCACGCACTCAACCAAAAAGCCACTCTATAACCACAAATAATGCTCAGAACAGCACCTAACTTCATCAACAGCACATATAGGGTCCCAGCCATAGTACTAGCCACCAAACATCTTTATAGCTTTGCCTAATTTCTTCAGCAAAGAGACGAAACACAACTCACCTACTCTCTTCCAGCAGCCGCTTGTTTGTATGGAGACATCAGGCGAGTCCATTACAGACTGCTGTGGGGTGTCACAGCTCAAGGAAGAACATTTAGGATCGTTACTTTATTATTTCCTTTAAGTAATATATTAATCATTTTGCACTGTAGGCGCAGTAGTTCTTCTGCCTTAGCGTCTCGGTCTGATTGCATTTCCATTAAGAGATGATCATAAATGTTCCTCCTTGAGCTGCGGCACCCCACTACAGCCGATGGACTCGTCTGAAGGTCTTCGTGAGTTGTATTTAGTCTCTTTGCTAAAGAAATTAGTCAAAGTTAAAAAGATGTTTGGTGGCAAGTACCATGGCTGGGACCCTATTTGTACTGTTGATGAAGTTAGGTGCTGTTCTGAGCATTATTTGTGGCTATAGAGTGGCGTTTTGGTTGAGGTTTGTTTATGGCTCCTCAGACTGCTGTGTATTGCTATCGTGCGGTCGTTACTAAAGTTGGTATAACTAGAGAAGCAAGCTGTTGGCAACACTGATCTCTTGACAGGGGGTTTAACTCTGTGTTACGGTGTGTTTGACCCTAAATTAATTTTATGCCGGAAAATCCCTTTAAACCTAATGATCGAGATGACGGGAGCGCACTGCGACCCCACTGTGATTCCAGTAAAACTAGATTTACTAATGACTTTTAGTTTGTAGTCTGGGACCGTGAAAATCATTTGGTGTAAGCCCAGCATTAGACGTGATCAACGCTCATATATACTGAGATTCAGTAGATCTTCTGTTAAATCTCAGCATATTTATTTTAGCCGTCACTCCTGCAACAGTTCACAACAAATCTGCGACACATAATCGTTGAAATAATGACTCTCCTTTTGGCCCGCCATAAAGAAACCAAAGGTTACCCCCTAGAAAAAATACAGCCACATTTCATCCACTAAGTTACTTCTCCCTATAAAAGAGTTATGTATCTACAATACCTCCTTTTATGGGCTGGAGTTTGGTAGGAGGGGAAGTGTGGTTTAAAAGGTAAAGGGGGTCAGCGGCACCTCAGACTTCTATTGCTCTTAGCTGACACTGCAAAGCTGCCATTGGTCACGGCCACAGCGCCTGATCATGTCAGTCCGGTGCACAATGGCTCCCCGAAGGTAAAAGCGCTTTCAAGGGGGGGCTGGGACGATTAGGCTTCATTTTATAACACTGTTCCATGGCGAGTCTGCGCCAGATTTACTCCGCCTGCAGGAGGGGAATAAACCAGAGTCTATATGACGGCTGGAAGAAGTAATGAAATGGCAGTCCCGTGAGACGCACAAATCCACACACTGTAGGTATTCCCGAGTGTTATAGCCTGAATCAAAGGCTGCTGTCTGGCAGGCAAGGCTCAGAACACTGACAGCCTGACTAAAGATTTTCACAAGCCGTCGCTGGTGGAAATTCTTAAGACATCTGAAAGAAGAGCTGAAGGGGAGCAGGCAGACACGTATTCAACACAGAGACGGTGGAAGGATTTCATTTTGTGTGAGGTGTGTAGCTGGAATCACTGTTACAAGATACAAAACCCTGACTTGTATGCTTGACTGTGTGGGCTCGGTAATAACGTGGCTGCCAATTAAATGCAGCGAGTGTAAATTGGAATTCCCTCAAGGTAGGATTACACCTAAATGCTATATTTCCATTATGCTTCACACATCCCTGTTATTGATTTGATTTTTTTTGACTGGTGCTTTTAATTATCTCATCTCTTTCCACACTCCTCTTCTGCTTTTGTGACTTGGCACCAGGCTGTTATATTAGCAGCAGCTGTTAATCCCCGAGCACTCAACATCTAATATGGCTCCAGGCCAATTACTAATAATTTCTTTTCCTTATTTTCTGAAAATGCAGTTTAATTTTGGTTTTTAATTGGATTGAAAGTCATCCTCTCTTCATTTGAGTAGGTATGAAAATTACACTTTCAGCTCTGGGTAATGGTGGGAATGCACAGAGCGTGAACTTAAAGCTCCTGTGTGGTCAGGAGGTGTCAGTTAAATCAATAATCTGCACATTTTATGAACAACCATCTTTTTTTTATGTGGGTCTTATATCGAGTGATGAATTTAACATTACAGAAAAAGCAGGATGGGAACTAATGGTTATGAGTGCATCTAAAGGGCGCTAGTTTGTCTTGTTTTTTCTGTTCAGGCTAATAAAGGTCCAAGAAAATAACCTTAAAAAAAAGGAAATGCAACGAACAGTTGTGCCAGAACTGGAATTAGTCATAATTTTAAGGGTATAAAGCGATCAAATACATAAATTCAAGTCAACCAAAAAAAGCTGTGAAATTAAACTAAAAAATCAACAAGGAAAAAGTTAAAAATTTAGAAGAAATGAAAATTATGAAGTGAAACAGTCATAAATCAGCAAAATTGCTGAACATCTGTGTAAAAAAAAAAACCTGGAAACTGAAGAAATCAAACTTGCAAATCAACCTGATTTGGTTGTAAATTTACCAGAAAAAGTCCTAATTCTACTACAGCGTAATCTTTAAAATGAACAAGATTAAAGTTGTAAATCTGTGACGGTAACTTGCGAAGTTATGAGACTCAACTTGTGCATTCACATAATCAAAGTTGTGCATTTATGGCAGTTGGGATATTAGGATATAATTCTATGTTTTCAAATCTTTAAATAGGAGTGTCCCAATCCGACATTGATATCAGATATCGGTCTGATATTAGCAAAAACCCAAATATTGGATTATATCGGCTTGCATCTAAAATCTCCAATATCAGTGATTGTGTGGCAGTTATTTTTCGTAAAAGTACGAAAAAAAACATTGCATATGAGTGCAAAACTTGTCATGAACAAGTTTGTGCCAATATCGGATCACTATCGGTATCGTCCAATAACAAAGGCTGCAATATCAGTATCAGGTCATGAGTAAAAAAGTTGTATCAGGATACCCTTATCTTTAGATTTATGAGAATGAGGTCAGACTGCTTCTCTTATGGGTTTAGGAGTGTGCTTTGTCCAGAGGGGGCGCCAAAATCAACACAAAAGGATCGTTCCTCCAAGAAGTTTCAAACCTGTTTCTAAAAGTGCATTCACAAAGGTGGAAAATTACCAACAATACCAACAATAACAGCACTTTTAAGCATAAATCTCATTGTTAAATTCATTTGGAAAAATCGTAAATTAACGTAAAACACAGCTCTCTCAATTCTGGACTGTTTTAACCAGAACTATTACAGCTGAGGTTGGACATTTTCCTACTAAGCGCCCAAAATGAATCACATTAACAGGGACTCTCAGTCTGTACACACTCCCTTCCTTCTGTCAGATGAATGCATGTAACTTCGTAGGTGGCAAAGTTGAGCGCTGATGTTTGAAAGGTCAGCTCACAGTAATTACTGACTGACGCTCCAGTTTAACCACTTCATTATTCATCGCTACCTTGACACCTGTGGTCGAGTTCTTTCTTTTGTTAACACTTGTCTGGTATTAAATGACTCTGATAAATAACTTAAATGCAAAACCTTCACCTCCTATACTGGCCTGCAGAGGCTGCGAATGAATGCTTCTCATTACAGGACGACGAAAACACGGGAGCAGCTTCGGCTCTTTAAATACCTCGAATGTAATTAGCAATAGAAAAGTTATTCAGCCAACCATAGACAATCTGGCAGCACTTGGACGCGTCTATGCCGGAGCAGATGAGGTGGCATAGATAGAGGTAAATGGCTGCCAATGAAAAGCTGTAGGAAGTAGAAAGAGAGGGAAGGTTTTGCTTTTTAAATCCCTCTATTGACGTGACAGCAGGGGGGTATTTGAGCACATTTAATGTTTGAGATCCTGACAAAGGTGGTATTTCTAAGCACGCTTATAATGCTCCTCTGGTAATTTACCGCGGAGCTGCAAGAATGTGGAGAAATTGGGGGGATAAGACAAGATCACTGCCTGGAAAGAGAGAAAGAAAAGCAGACAGGATGAAGATAAATTAGAGAAGTTCTCAGACCCTGAAAAGGAAACCTGTCAAAAAATGAAAATGTCATTAATGCCGCAAGAGAAAGGCACAGTACTCGGGTTTCGTACTTTTAAATTGGTCGTTTAAAATCACAGAAAGTGAGGAAGTCGATTTTTTTCCCCCAGCTGGTGAGTGGATTTAAAAAAGCTACAGGATACCTGCAACCTTTCCCAGACTACGACGAACATCTAATTTGACCACCGCCCTGTCGCAGAGTGACACACTTACCCAGGACTGGGTTCGCCATCGGACACCGTGCATAGACTGCTCCATATTCCCAGACTTCCATTGATTTTCTTCCTCTAATATGCCATTTGGTTGCACGGGATACAGTTATGTGATCCAGCCCCGCTCAGTGTCAGTGTTGACTGCTGTTTCTAATAATGGCCCGGGGTCAAAGGACTGATAATATTGATAATCAAAGCGGGGACTGTGTCAGTGTGTCACTTTCAGCTCTAGAGGAAAAACCTCGAAATGAAGTTCAGACCGAAGAGCCTGTAGGACAGTTTGAGGAACTGATCGTGAAGCTCAAATCTTGACTCGATAGTAATCCGATAGAGGAAACGGGGGTAAGGTGATACTGATACGGAGATGGGGATATTACTGGATGTCGACGGATATTGTAGGTTTGTCACACATGCAGCCAAGAACACAGACACGGCATTAGCGATTCATTCTCCGCTCAAACTGGCTTGAAATTTCTCTGATTCTCCATTATTGAACTTAATTATATTTTACAAGGGATGAAATCCTCTGTTAACCGCCGTCTTTGCATATAAAGGCAAAATATTGAGACTTCTCAATCCCCCCGCCGTGTGTACTCGCCTCTCCGCGCGTGGCTTGATCTAATATTTGAAGTTATTACAAATTAATTTCAGATACTTTAGAGCGGAGGAGGCTCCTCGCTCCGGACAAAATTGGAAATTTTACATTATTTTTCACCGCTCAAAGGACAGTCTGGTGTGGGAGACGGCGGAGGCTTACAGGGGGGATGATGAGGAAAACAAGTTCAAAGTGAGGATGACCACCGAGACGGGGACCGCAGAGAGAAACACGATGGAAAAACAGGATGAAGGGAATAAAGCAGAGATTGATGTGATGCAGACACGGCTCTCGAAGTACAGTGTCTGCAATTTTCAGACCAAACTGAGAAACACTGAGGAAAAAGTCAGGGATAAATTATGCACAACCCGGTTATTGAAGGACCTAGATTTGTCTCCGCAAAAATGCAGGATCGTCAGAATAAGTTTCAGTGGAGCTTTCATGTAAAACAGAGTTTTTTAAAGGTCTGACAGTCCGGGTCTCCCCTGGGAAATGTGAGATAGGAGGGAAAAACAAACCCAGCTTTGGAGTTTAAAACGAGAGAACGACAGGTGAGTGTGAGAGATAGACACAGTTCATCGAAATTTACTCTTTGTCTTTTTAAGAGTCAGGGAATAGTTGATTTCAGCCACATTGACCTAAAAATTACAGGAGGACAATGGCTCCATTCAAAACACTACATTTCACAGCAAAATATGACGTGGATTGGTTGTCATGACTTGAACATTATCTGCAAATGGAGAATAAAAACATGATTTTGTCAGTTTCTTAAAAGAAGATATATTCTCATTCAAAGAAACTAAAGTTTAGTTTCAGGAAACAGATTTTTCAGTTTTTGTTTTCAGTGTGCTACATCTAAAAATGAGATATTTCTCCTGATTTGTTCAGTAAATGTGGTTTAATTTAGGCCTAATAAGACGGTTTAACTAGAATCATACAAAAACATTTGCATAGATTTGAGTTCTTTCTATTATTATAACTTTATTAACAGTTTCTCCCTAAACTAGCTGTGTGATCACAGACAAACAGTTACTAATATTAGGTATCAGCGCACACTCCCCATAATAACTCTGTACAATGTTGATCAGGACTGCACACAACATGCTCACTTGCACTTCCTTCCTAATTTTCTACCATAATAACTATTGTTCTAGTTTACACTCAACAGTTTTTCTCATTCATGAAACACTAAAATCTGGGACGTTTTGTCACCTTACCCTAAACTATAGTGTCAGCGATACCATTAATTCTGTTCCAAATGAATGGGAGTTAATGCTAATGAACAAGGTCCCCATAATCCAGGTCCAGAACAGACGTTAATCCAAATACATTATTCTTTGAAATCAACACATCTACGAAGGTGGTCCGTTCTTGCTCAAGTTGTTTTAGATCCATCTTACCTTGTAAGACCAGGGTTTTAGGGATGGGGACAGACGGGCATTTTGTGATCTACTTCAATTGGCTCATCGAAAGCCGACCCTTAACCGGCAATTTCCACCACATCTGGAATGGCTACGAAAAGGCCGTATCCGCCAATCCCAGCTGATCGTAACCATTCAAGTTTATGTGTCAATTTCCACAGGCTTCTTTCCAGACTCCGCAACTGATCGGAACGTATTTCACGCTATGCAAACAGGCGGGGAGGAACAAGTGAAAGGTTTTTAGACAGCATTTCATCCTGATAACACCTTTGATGAGGACATGCTGATTTTATAAGTCCAGAAGTAGATTTCCTCCTCTGGAAGGACACAATCTACTGCTTCTATGGTTAGCCTATGTGGCTAAAGACAACTTGTTATTGCAAGATTTTACGTGAATCCGCGGGTTCTTGTGAGTTCTCGCGATTCCTGCTGTCCGTAATCTGCCACGAAATTCGCCTCACAAACGGACCCCGTAGGAATTGGTGTATGGGGAAAATCGCAGCTGTTCTGAATGCGGTGGATATCCCGGGTTAGGCTCCCCTAATACCTCCTTACAGTCTCGGTTGTGTTTCTGATATGGTGTGACGAGCATCATTTCTTTGGTTTCTAAGTGTAACTTAGTGTTTAATTCCTCTAACCATTGACGTCATACCCTGGAGGTGGTTAATGTACTGTGATTGTATCCAAATTTGACTGACTTACGACTTTTAAAAGTTCCAATTTTGACCCAAATATCTATTCCACCTCCTACACATCTCTGCTGTGTCATGCCTGTCCCTCTAGGCTCTCAGCTCCCTCAAAGCCCCCCTGGGAAAGGGGTGCCTCAAGGTTAAAAGTCTCTCAATCATGTACTGATCTTTACCCAAACAGGAGCTTAGTAGAGCGCTAGCAGGCACACACAGTTGTTTGGAACAAAACCTCATGAATCTTAATCTCAAGTATTGAGAATTTAGCATGTAAAAAATTGTATAAGGACCGTATAAAGAAACACACCTGGAGGTATTCTTTGTCCCAAGAGTTTAAGACAAGACAACCGGAGAACGAGGCGCCGACGCTGATCACCGCTCAGAAAACACAAGCCTCTCCTGACTCCCAGTCAATTCTCACTGTTTATTCTTCAGTGACGCGACCTTTCCCTGCCCTCTGCCCCCCGAAGGCATCCATGTTGACACCAGTTTGACAGCTCTTCACTGACATACTCTGACCTCGGGGCGCAGTTAATCACTAATAATCCCAACATTGCTGAAGGCCTGACATTGATTCTCATTCAATATTCGAGCACAGCGTACATCTGACAAGTGACCCTCTACGGACCAGGTTACACCGTATTCACTGAACCGGGAATTTCATGAATTGTGAATCCAGGCATTGGGTTTCTTTACTGTGAGTGCCACTTCAGCCTGACAGCTACACTCTCCCAGTCTCAGATGGATACCATAGGCTGGATAAAGAGCTTTAAGAGTCGAAAGAGATCGTGATGACAGGTGGCTTCAAGACGGAGTGGGAGTGAGTGTGTAATACACCTCAAACCGGAGTCTTTCACTTACAGAAAACATAGTTTTAAGACCAGAACCCAGAACTGCATTTGCGTCACATAAGCAGGGAAAAAAAGAGAGTTCTGGGATGTACGCTAGTGTATCTAATTGACAATTTTCTCACTCTCTCTATGATAGAAATTGACTGATAATGCCATCATGACATCCAAGCATCAATTATCTACCATTCAACATGCACTGCATACTGACTGCACACAAACCCGGCTACAGTCTAGGGGAGGGATATCTGATCCAGACATGTTTTTTTTTGCGTGTGGTTAAGGTTTCTATGTTTGTAAAATGAGAATGTAAAGGTGTGAAACCAGACGGAGACGTCTTTATGTCAGGACACTTTTACTGTTCTTTTCAGTGTCTGGATTTGGGACTTGAATAAAAGCAATGATTTGAACTTGATGTAACAAGATGAAGCTATAAAACAATAATTTAAAAGAGGAGATTAGCTTCAAAGTATTTACTCTGTCCAAACTGGTGGTTTTTATCGAGGGTAACGCTGTTGGGAAATGTGCGGGACTGAATACAAAAAGCAGTTCTATGTGCACTATGCTGGTTTTTGTGATGCGGTTGCGCCTGCGTGCTTAGTTTGAAGGTCGTAGCTGCAAACTTGGAGTACTTCAGTTATATTTCAACTCCCTTTGACACACACTGAACAGTACTTGTTGTTAGGGTGACCATACGTCCTCTTTGACCTGGACAAGTCCTCTTTTTTAGGGGTCGTCTGGATTTGACCGTCTTTGTTCGGGGAAGTTTATAAAATCCCTCAAATGTCCAGGGATTTGTACGTAAGTTTCGAGTCTGTGTCATGTGGACTTACTGAGTTAGAAGTGTGTAAGAGACACTCAATCCAACCCGAAAAACTCTCAAAATTAACTTCTCGCAACTCTGTGACTCCGCCCCCGCGTAGTCATGTCCTTTTTTCAGGAAGTCTGAATATGGTCACCCTACTTTTTATGAGTTTCTGAAAGTTAAATATACTGTTCAAAAGCCTGAGTTTATCCCTATGATTGACTTGTTGTAGAGTGGGAGAAATCTGATTATTGGACCAGCTGTAGAAGACCGCCGCAGTAGTGATCACATAACCCACTTCACAACACCTTAATGGACCAAAGGGCCAACGGTGGTGGACGGCTTCTCTCTCTTCGCTGCAGGACAGAGAGATTCAGAAGATCTTTTGTACCCACAGCCATCAGACTTTACAACTCTTCTGTAAATGGAAGATAACTTTTAGAGACGACAAATGAGACGACAGATAATTGAATTACCCTTCGGGGATCAATACAGTTCTTCTTATCTTATCTTAAAAATGGAAAAAACCATTTCAGAAATCATATAAATGTTATATAAATGCAGAAATCTGTTATCTTCGGAGCGTTACATTATATATTCTTTTATTTCCCAGCATTGCATGGATTTAATTGATCTTGTTTCAAACTCGCGTTACTGCGTTACAGTACATTGCATACCCCGGAGTTGTGCGGCTCTTCTGTGCCTCGAAAGCGGTTGAGCTTTTTACGGCGTGTTGTAGCGCATCGCAGCGTTTCATTACATATCATTGCGTTGTGTTGCGACCACGCAGGTGTGTAAAAGGCCTGAAGGATTACACTCGTCTTCAGAGGAGGTGCCAGGAGTGGGCCTCCAGGACACAGGGCTCTGGGCTAATCTGGTTACACACAATAACAGCATTGTTTATTTCGCAGTTGTTTAAGTGCTGCTAGCTTGGAGAGGCATTAGTGACATCATCTCAAGCTGTCTAATGTTCACAAGATTACAACACAACCTGTTTATTCTGTTGGAAGTAAATACACGCCAGCTTAAGGTTGTGCGACTGTGAAAGCCTTGTAACGAGGAGAGGAAAAGGACTCATATGGATGGAGAGAGAGATAGTGGGATAGATGCAGCACACACTGACAACACCCCATTGACATACACACACACAGCTCCATCCACCAGTCGCTAATTAATTGGATGAAAAAGCAAGGCATATTGATTTTCCAATGACACAGACTCAGGGTTTCAAGATCACAGTGCAGCCAGAACTGTGTGTGTTTGTGTGAATGTGTGTACTCAGCTTGTGTGTCAGTCTTTTTGTAGGCGTTTGTTTGTGTACGCACAGCGCTGCGGACGGTACACGTGTGTGATCTGGCACAAACACCCTCCGTGTCCATGTTTGGACCTTTGGGACGCGCAGGCCTTTGAAAAGTGCAGCGTGCGTCATGTCCAAAAAATGACCCCCATCAACCACACACACACACACACACACTTACACACACACACACAAACACTTGAGTCTGAAGACTGATGCCTTCCGCTCTCCTTGTTATACAAAGCAGATCTTTCCACTTGGAGAGATCTAAAGTGGTGGGGAGGTCTAGCCAGGGAGGTATTTTAATGAGATTCCATGACGTTGTTGTTAAAAACAGAGATGTGGGATAAAGTAAGAATGCTGCCTGAAAATCAAAGTCATGTGTGCCGACCTCACATCTATAAAAAGAAAAGACTGTGTGCTATAATCAGTCCTCGATGCTTTAATCAGTTAAAATGCTGAACCGGAGAGATTAGGACTGAAATCACTCAAATCTTCACCTTTGGACAAAGACGTTCCTGAGAGTATTGTATTATACTCTAGTGAATCATTTCATATTGTATCATAATATTTCATATCATATCACAATATATCATATAATGATGTATTGTTCTATGTCATGATATATTGTACCAAACTTTATCATATGGTATCATATCTCACTATACTGTATCATATCGTATCATGGTGTATCCTGTGGTTTGTTATCATTTTGAAAAGAATCCGGTCATATTATAAAGTACAATATGGTCTGTTATAATACACTATGACATCATCTGGTATCATATGGCATTAAATTGGTCTTTATTGTATCGTATTGTAATTTACATGTTGACTGAATGACAATCAACTCTACCACTAAGCCATATCGAAGTGTATTGTATCAAATCTATTCATATCATATCTTTTCACATGATTCCGTATCATATCATTTTGTGTCGTATCATATTGAACTGTGTCTTTTGTATAGCCTTGCATAACATATGGCATCCTTTTGTTTCAAATCATAATGTATCATTATACCATATTGTATTGTATCATATTATATCATATCATATTGTATCGTAATATATTGTATTGTATCATATTGAATTGTATCATATTGTATTATATTATATCATATTACATCATATTGTATCGTATCATATTGTATTGTATCATATCATACATATCACATTGTAATGTATTGTATCATATACATATCATGCCATATCATATTGCATCGTTTTGTACCATATTATATCATATTGTATCCTTGTGTTTCGTATTATATTGTTTGTTATCATATCATATTGTATCCTATTATATTGTAATGCATTGAACTGTATCATATCTTTTGCAGTGTATTGCATCATATTGTATCATATTCTTTCTTTTCCTAACAAATCGTATTGTATCCTTTACTTTCATATTTTATCGTAATATACTGTATCATATTGTATTGTATCCTTTCCTTTCCTTTCCTTTTGTTATCATATCATATCATATTGTATTGTGTCCAGTTCTATTCAACCCAGTTGAATTAATCTATTAACTATCAAATCATTTTAAGTTAAAAGAATAAAGATAACTTCTTTTACAGCCCCCCTTTCCATTTTCATCTATCTCACCTGGTACCCAAACAGAACGGCTCCAATCAAAGTAGGCCGGTGAGGACCAGTAGTTCGAGCTCCTCTCTCAACTTTTCACTCTGGAAATTCCGATAAATGCTGAACTGTGCTGTACTGGACTGCTTGGCTTAGCTCAAAACACCCATGAGCTCACCAGTTCTTCATGGTAGGGATGTCATATGTCTTTAGGTATGTCATAAGTCACTGTGGGCGTGAGAACTTGTGCCAAGACTGCAGAAAAGTGCACACTCAGATCCTCTGTTTCCATATATCCCCCCTTTGAGGAAATAGGTTGGTATGTGGTCAGGGGAACTTGTCCAATATAGACAGACGCTGTTTGGCTTTATATCCAAAAATTTCCACAGTGCTAGCCAGTTGCTGACCACTCTGGGTTTAAAAAAAAAAACACTGCAAGGCCAAGCAGAGCCCTCAGGGTGAGAGAGTTCACCATATGGTATATAAACCCAATGTAAATGACAGAGAAATGCATGTTATTTCAACACTTATTGAATGTTGTCTACATCACCGATTCGCCGCTGGGCAAGGCGTAGATCTTCTTAAAACTGGCATAAGGTTAAGTGAGGGAACGGCGACACAGGACTGAGAGGTAGTGAGAGAAAGAAAGCCGACTGGGTGCCTGGCTGTGAGACACAAAGCCCTTAATTACAATGTACAGGCATCACAGGAATAGCAGTCCGCCTGGCTGTAATGGGATCCAGATGAGGGAATTATACCATTTCCTGACAAAATGGCTTCAAGATGGGGGACTGCGCTACTGTCCTGACTTCTAATAGAGCCGAAGGGAATTAAAGAAATTCAGATTGCAGGGGGGCCCCGCGTGTGTGGCTGCGACACAGCAGGGGGTAGCATGTGGGTGTGCAGAGCCGGTGCTTGTGAGCTCAGAGCAAAGCTGAGTGAATTGAGAGGAATGTGTAATTGAAATCTGTATTTTATCGGATTTGATTCCAAAGTAAGCTCTAGGCCCACCGCCTGTCTGCAGAGGATTTAATAAAATACAGCCACACTACAGAGTGTTCACTTTTTAAACAGCCAGAAAGTTAATAAAGTATGAGTAACTTCTGAAATCTTTAAAACAGGCTGTCATGGCTGTGCCTGGCTTTATAAACTGGTGTCAGCTACACGCTTGCATGAGGCAAACTTGAGTTCTTTATTTTAAAGGTCTGACTTTGATACTGAAGACCAAAATATAGTAAAACCTGATTATTTGAGGGTCTGTGTTTGTCTGCTGGAGTAAAACTGTGACAGTCTGGAAAAGTTTGGCAGAGAGAAGTTAGTTATCGAGCAGGAGGAGTTCTTTTAAAAAATGAAATATTTTTCCATCACGTTTTCCAACCGTTGCTGGTAATGAAGCAGGATTAGCAAAAATACTTTTTCTGTTGAATAATTTAGATGAAGAAACTTACTAACCAGAGCTTCGCTGAGTAAAAAAGGCTGAACAGAATTCAGTATTTAGGCCAGGATGTGAGTTTTTGTCTCCTATTTGAGGTCAAAAAAATTAAAAAGTGTTTATATTTATGCAATTACGACATCCGTACAATACATCAGAGTTTACAAAGTTATGTAGCTACATAACATTTGTGAATATGAATATTTAATCCATGCATTTCCTCTTTTGCAAAATGTATCTGTAAAAGATCCGTATGCCGTTTATTTCCTTTAACAGCTATTGTGTGTGCAAGTGTGTGCACATACGTGATATGGAATGAAAAGTTACCACAGTGAATCATGTTACTTTAATAGTTAATCATGACGATACTCCTCTGGAAGGAGCTCCTGTGAGAAACTGGTTAATGTTGATTTTGGCGCCCCCTGTGGAGAAAGCCATACTCCTTATTTCTTTGCTGACTTTTTTCTGTGCATGGGTGGGAACACTAGCTTTTGCCCTCAGTATTGATATGGACTTTAAACTGATTTTGATATAGAATACTGACATTTTAAACATATAGATATAAATGCAATTAATCACGATTAACTCTTGAAACACTGCGATTAATCGCAACTTGATAAGTGAATCACTGGACCACCTCGACAAAAAGTAAAACTGAGCAGGGAGTTCTGAACCAGCTGTGGTAACAAAAATGAAAAGTTACCACAGATCATTAATAGTTAATCATGATGATACTCCTCTGGAAGAAGAAATCTGACAGACTACACAGCTCCTGTGAGAAACTAGTTAATGTTGATTTTAGTGCCCCCTGTGGAGAAAGCGATACCCCGTATCTCTTTTCTGGTTTTGTTCTGTTCATGGTCAGGAACAAAACTAGCTTTTTTCTTTTCAGTGTTGATATGGACTTAAAACTGCAGATAAAAATGCGATTAATCGCGATTAACTCCGGAAACACTGCGATTAATCGCAACTTGATAAGTGAATCATTCGACCACCATAACTTACAGTAAAACTGAACAAGCAGTTCTGAAGCAGCTGGCAGTAATGAGTCTGTCTGATCCAGTCCACTCGGTTGTTTATCAGTTTTTATGACCTCTTAATATGTTTAACTTGGCTCTTTTTGCGTCTATTCTTGTCCCATTACAGCGTCTGTTTTTCCACAGCTTTGTGGCCCACTTATCAGCGCCAGATAACAGTAACCGGCTGAGATCAGATCCTTATTTGAGGCTCTGAACCGAGCGCGAGAAGTATGCCTCTCAACACGGCGAGAGTGTGATATGGACAGAGTGATGTAACTGTAGAAACATGGGACTTCTGCTGGGTATGAGACTTTAATCTCGGAAAAACAAAGCATACCAGATGACAGGTGCGACCACTGACCGAGGGAGAGCAGGGGAGAAGAAAGAGAAAGAGTAATATCTATGAGAGAGTTGTGTTAGAATTGCAATAACAAAGAAAGCCTCACAAAGCTCCATTGTTTTCTCCGGCACCACCTCTAACAACTCTCAGCGCCTCCATCACTCTTTTCATTGACAGATATTCCTCACAAGCGCTCTGTTTACACCTATTTTCCCCTTTCCTGATATTTTTTTCACCTCGCTTTCTTATTGTCCGTAACACATTCTGTCAGGTGACATTTCCGGTTAGAAACACAGATGCTCGGGAAGTGCGGCGCTTGTGTGAAATCGAAGTCTTTCTGCGATGAATCGCTCCTAAAGAGGAAGACATCTTTTCCTCCCGTGGCACCAATCTTCCTTTCTTCTGTCTCTCTCCCAGGTTTGTGTGAGTGATGAGAATAAATAGCAGGGCTGAAAGGAGAGGAGAAACGCACATCGGGGACTATTTCATCTTCGAAGTCTCACTCTTTTCTATCTCCTTCCAGGTACAGGTACACCTTATCCCTTGACATCGTGTTCCAGCTTTTGTTCACCGCAGATCTTTCCAGGAACGTTCTGATAAGGATGTCAAAGGGGTAAGACTTTTAAGACCCGATAGATCGGGGAATTAACATGTACCCTGACGATGCAGGAGTCTATGTTTGGAATCTATTGAAGCAAAATGGCATCAGCTGCTGAAACACATGTGAGTGGAGTCAAGAGAGCACAAGAAAAAAGGTGTGACATTGACAGAGTGTGCTAAAAAAAAAAAAAAAAAAAAACAGCATGCCAAGTGCCACAGAGAGATGCAAAAAGCAGGAAAAGCAAGGGTAAAACTGTGAGGTGTGTGAAAAGGAAGAAAAAGGGGATTTAGGGGAGGTATTAGCTGCAGAGTCCAACTCTCTCGGGGAGCAACGACATTAAATAAGTGATAAATATTCAACAGAAGGCAAGCAGGCACTCTGGAGACACCGCCACAGCCCAAACAAATACTTAGTGAGCACACTCGAGCAACCACACCAACACGAACTAGAATACACAGCAGTCCCAGGCTGATTTTACTGACAGCAGACAACACAAGCGTACAGGGCTGGTGAAGACACAGGTGATGAAAACAAGGATGTGGTGGTCGGCGGGGGAGAGATGGGAAAAGGAGGTGGAGATCACAGGCAGGACTGTTTGCACAGGCTGACAATTTTCTGACTGTTCTCTTCACTTCTTCCTGCCCTCTGCGTGTTTTCCCACATTTCTCTCCTTCCCCAAATCCTGCCTCAATCTGCTCCTGTCCATCTCCGGCGCTGTACCGCAAGAAAAAACAGAACAAAAAAGTCCCCGAAAACAGTCCTGACCCTTCCTGCGACCCCGTCCTGAGGGGCCATCTATCAGCTGATTGCCCCAGACGGATTGAGGGGGGGAAGAGCGGGGTGGATAAAGAGCCGGGGAGAAGGGATGGTGGAGAGTTTCGCAGGTTAGGTCTGGGGGTCAGGTCGGTAAGGCCGGCAGGGAAAAGGGGCGTCTGTGCCGGGGGAAATGAGGTAATATGTTGCAGTCAGGTGAAAAATGGGCATGTCGCTTGACTGGGACGGCTTCTCTGCTTCACTCGGAGGTGAAAACAGTCTTTACTTTGGGAGGTGCGGTGCATGTATTCAAACAGCCATGTTTGAATGCATGCACTCGGGTGAATAGACGAGACATTAGACGCGTTAAACCAATTACCCATGATGTGACGTCTGCAACATATATGCAATTTAAAGCTCTCCTTTCTCCACCTGTGGCTGCGTGATAGTTGGTACCACTGCATCTTGGAAAACAGCTCCTGAGCATTTTCTTCTTATAACTTTTCATTCCTTCATTCTACAAATACAACTTGCTGTAATTTTTAGTGTCTATTTTCTTATTGTGGTCTGGGATAAAATGACTTTGAAAAGTGGCAAATCTTCCAAAAAAGACGATTCGTCATTGACCGCTAGCTTACAGTCGATGCTGTCTCCGTGCTACTGGAGCAACACTGCGAGGCGCTAGCTGCTAGGGTTGGGCATCGATCCCGAGCATCGATGGAACCTGGACTAACATACCGATTCTCCCGGAACCGTTCAAATTTTAAAATTTCGATTCCAAGTTTCGATGCCGGAGTCCGCCAACCGGAAGAAATAGCCGCCGAACATCAACAAGGACGAAACGTATGTGATGAAGCCACACAGAGAGACAGAAGAGAGAGGCAAAGGAGGATGAACGACCAACATGATTAAACACCTCAGAATTCACAGCGGAGAAATACCCGAGTGTTCGTCTTTGACGCACTTAGCCGGTCTTCCACTAACCAGCCAGAATCAGGTCAGTGAAATAATAAATTACTTCTGCAAACTTTGAAGTGGTAAACAAATTGTACTGTGTACGGATGGTCAACTTAAATACCCAACTAACGTTAGCCCTCGTACTTTTCATAGACAAACAACCTGAAAACAAACATTAATATTTATTTACTGGTTGAAAATAGTCCTGTGAGAAAAGAATCGGAATAGAGAATCGTTAGGAACCAGAATCGAGACAAGGAATCGGAGTTGGAACTGGAATTGGTCAAAATCAAACGATGCCCAACCCTACTAGCTGCTGACTTTAGCTGGAAGCTAAGTTTGACAAAGTTTGGTTTACGGTGGAAGACCATGGTCAACCCTTGGGGTCCCTCGAGCTGGCGGACGACTTCAGCCAGCGTGTCAGAGAGCTGGAAAATGTCGGCTCCGATCTACGGTAAGACAACTCTAAACTCAAAACCAAAGTCACTGACCTCAAGGGACAAGGAGACGGCAAAATCTACGTATTCTGGGCCTGGCGGAGTCAACCAAATTCTTTTCTGAGCTGCTACGCAAGGTGTTCGGGAAGGACATACTGCAGTCCCCACAGGAGATTGACAGAACCCACCGCTCACTAGCCGCCAAATCACTGCACATCCTGAGCCGAGCTGCTAATAACAGAGTTACAGTGAGAGCTATTCAAGGGGAGGAGTTGTGCCCATGCTTTGCTGTTAAGTAAGACAGGGAGGGTGCATTTTATTCGACACTGCAGGCGGCACAATACTGTTCATTCTTGATTATCATATTTCTATCATCCTGGGGAGCCACATGTAATCGAAATAAATTTAGATTAATCCCCCAGCTCTTCCAGACGTAGAAATGAAACCAGAACGCAGACGCCTGAGGGGTAAATCTGGAGTTTCACACACAAACAGGAAGATTCGCACGTAATTCCCCTGCAGGTGTTCACACATGTACTCACTTTTCGCAAACACATATGAATATCAGTCCTGGAAGTCCCTCGTGCTCGCACAGCCTCATACATACGTGCAGGATTCTCATAAAGTAGCAGCTTTACATTCAGCAGTGAACAGCACAACCATCGGGGATTCTCTGCTTTCATATAAATAAATAAAAATCACATATCAGGGATGTGCAGTCACACCTTTTTCTCAGCCTCAGCACATCTGCAGAATCTAGATCACTGTTGAAATCACACTAGATGTAATCCCGCACTCACAATCATAATTTTATGAAGAGAGGTACACAATGAATAAAGAGACAAAGGCTAGGATGAGGATATATTGGGTTTCGTGTCTGTCGGAGCCTGCTTAGCTCTCGAAGTCGACACTGAGAAGAATAAAAACATTCCTGTGGAGAAAAGCAGAAGCAAAAGCTCTAAGTTTTTACTGAACATGGGAGTTGAGTTGTAAAATATCCGATTGTGATTCAGTGTGAGGGGAAACTTCAAGGTGTGCCAATTATCTGTGGAGGTGGAAGTAATGTGGTGTTAATGTGGCTCCGAATTGTTGGGTTTCCATCTGTCAGGTTCTGGGCACCTTTTCAGGGCGTTAAAACACAGAGGGAAATAGTGCCAAAAAAAATAAGCTGAGACGGATAATTTGGTGGATCAACCGAGGGGAACTACGACAGGATTTAGGGAGAAGTGTAAAGACATCAAGAGGCAGATGACTGGCAAACACGAGTCTGGTCCTGCTCGAGGTTTCTGCCTGTTCAAGGAAGTTTTTTTTTTGTTTGACTGGATGCAGTAACCTTCTGTCGAGGTCAAACTGCTTGTGGCAGCTTGAGACATGTTGAAAATAGACATGGTGCATAACTTCAGTGGAGGAAAACATCTGGGATGAAGCAAAGACGGGCCACAGGAACATGAATGTTGACCTGAGAGGGCGATAAAGAATGTGATATTTCCTTCAGGAGTTCAAACAGACCAAACAAACGACTACAAGTATGTTAACAAGTACTATGATGCATTACGGAAAAGCAAATGTTTGCAAACAAATTCATCACCGTCGTTTTCTTCCGCTTATCTGGGTCCGGGGCGCAGGGGCAGCAGCTTCAGGAGGGAAGCCCACACTGCCCTCACCTCAGCCACTTCCACCAGCTCCTCCGGGGGGATTCTCAGGCGCTCCCGGGCCAGGCGAGAGATATAATCCCTCCACCTGGTCCTGGGCCGGCCACAAGGTCTCCTCCCGGTGGGACATGTACAGAACACCTCTAACGGGAGGCGTCCAGAAGGCATCCTAACCAGATGCCCGAGCCACCTCAGCTGACTCCTCTTGACGTGGAGGAGCAGTGGTTCTACTCTGAGCGCCTATCGAGTGTCCGAGCTCCTTAACCTATCTCTAAGGCTGAGCCCGGCCACCCTGTGCCGCTTGTATCTGCGATCTTGTTCTTTCGGTCATCACCCAAAGTTCATGACCAGAGGTGAGAGTCGGCATGTAGATCGACCGGTAAATCGAGAATTTCACCTTACGGCTCAGCTCTTTCTCTATCACGACAGATCGGTTAAGCGCCCGCATCACTGCTGACGCCGCTCAGATCCACCTGTCGATCTCCCTATCCTCATTTAAAGATTAATTTGAAGAAGAAGAACAAGAAGAGCAACAAAAACCTTTTTGATCCCCAAGGGGAAATTCATTAAGTGGTAGATAGATACGTCAAAATTTCGTTTTCCTTCCCCCAAGCAGTCGGTCAAAATGGATGTAGCTGTTCATACAGGTCCTCAGTTCTTCAGTCCTGTCTCTCCTCGTCATGTTAATGTGGTTATTTTTGATCCGGATCAAGGATTTAAGTTAGCAGGAGTCGGTAAAGGCAACCAAAGAGACATCTAGACCTCTGGTGTTTTTGTGGCTCCAAATGTAAAACATGAGTCTGCTCGTGGTCTACTCCACTGATAAATCCTACAGGGCGGCCCTACAAAGTCCTGGACTTAATAACGGGGTTACGGGTCGCAAATCATAATGAGCCACATGTCCCCGACCCTGACTTTGACCACAGAAACTTTGTCCGTCTCCTCTTTCATTCACGGCCCGTTTCTTTTGTTCTTAAATGGCACATTAACATTTGAAACACATCCGCACATCATCCATCAACCGGCGCCCCCAACACACCACCCGTAATGTTATGTAAATCCCATCATCACCACCGCTCGCCGTGCCTTTCCACAGATGTTGACAGGCTCTACATTTTATAGGTCAGCGGCAGAACGCCTGGTTAAAAAAGGGTGAGCTCAAAGGCCGCTGGGAAGAAGGGAGCGACAGAAGGAGAGATGAGACGCTAACAGAGGAGCAGGGAGGGCTGACTAGCTTCCTCTGATGTCAGCGGCTCCCTGCTGAGTCCAGACCTTTTTTTTTCCGCTGTGTCTTTTTCTTTACGTTCAAACTTAACGTCAGTGACAGCGACGGTGACGTTCAGGCTGCACATTCCTCACAATCCTTCAGAGACTGATCCTGCCAGCTACAAGAAGAGACGGGAAGAGGAGGAGGAGATAGGAGTGGATGGACTCGGACTGGACAGATGTAATGGGAAAAACAGGAAAGAATGGTGTTTAAGCAAGAAGCAATGAATTTTTGAAGAGCTTCTCAAATAAGATCCCCCAATACCGGAGTTTTCAGGGCAAAACTCTGATATCTTTGAAATCGCGCAGCCTTTCAACCGAGGCTCCTCTGAGTGTGGGCCCAGAGCTCTCCGACTGTCAGAGTCTAAATCCTGCAGCAGTTTAGGGTCCTCTGGAACCCTTTAAACAGTCGTGAGACCTGCTGACGAGAGGAAACGTACCGAGGAGTAAGTACAGGATGCACTCGGTAAACCCCTTCGACTCGAACCTACTTTCTCGAGTTTGAAAAATTCCTCTCGAAACTGTTTCAGCCGAGATAACCACGTGAAATGGAGGTCTCGCCGCTCGAAAAATAAGGCAAGAAAGGAACTTGTCGAGAGCAGCTGGGATTAAATCAACAGTTCAGTGACTGTTTTTGTCTGCGTGTCTGATTCGTCTCCGTCCGTGCTTTGATATGAAGTGGGTAAAAAGGCTCTTACCGCTTTTGCTTGACTTGTAAAAAAAAGGTCTCTCTACATTTCGAGAAAAATAGCGAGTTCTTGATGGGCAAGTGTGCGGTTCAGCGATAACTGATGGGTGCAATTAATGTCAGAGTGTGTGCACAGATAAGAGACAAAACTACCTGACTAATGGCGCCTGGTTTCATCCTGACCCACCGATGAGTCATTTTCCCCTGATCCAAATATAGCCATTAGCTGTTGGCTCATTTCTTTCTGTAATAACTCGTTTTGTGTGATAAGTTGAAGAGCCGGGCCTCGGCTACCTTATCGAATCACATTATCATGTTTTGCTGCTACGATCAGGCGTGTACACAAGGGCGAACGAGATGGAGACGGAGACAAAAAGGGACTAGGAAGAGAAAATAAATGCCCTTTTTAAGTGTACATCAATCTCATACAGGAAACGATTCAGCCTGGCACAGGTAGACAGGAAATTAGAGAAAGCTGGCAAACACACACACATGTGTATGTATTCACACACATATAGTTAGGTTGGTCTGACAGGAAATTGGACAGTCAGGAAGTAGCCATGAGTACTGGGCGTAGGTTGTCGTGACAGCGGGGGTTTCTTTCTATTTTATCTCTCTTTAAATAGCCTCAAGAAATTGGTTCTTACTCAGCGGTGACAAAAGATCGCTGATTGTTTCTCAAGTGGCCGGACCACCAACTGTACCTCCAATTGAATCTTTTTTTATACCCCCAGCACTGCTGAGATTGTCTGTCCGAAGCCTGTTATTGCTTTGAATTACAGGTTCGCCTTGTGCTTTTTAATCAGCGGCTCTGTGGAGTCATGTTAGGGAGCGACATGTCGAAGACGTACTTTTTCAATCAAGTCATTCCATTTTCTTACGCTTATACGAGACTGGGTAGGAGGAGAAGTGGGCCAATTACCCAGCTCCTCCTGGGGTATCCTGATCTTGGGGGATGTACTAAGTCTGGGTCTACCCAGGCGTCCTCTCTTGTTGAACCTGACAAGCCTCTTACAAAGGAGGCGTACTTATCAGATGCCAGAACCGCTTTGACGGGCTTCCTTTGATTCTACAGGAGGATCTGAGCTCCCGAGGGATCTCCAAGTGCCAAGATCACCCCTCAGAGGGAGGGAGCTCACTTCGACTGTGTATGTTGGCAATGTGAATTTTTTGATCACTTTCTAAACTTTATGCCCATGTGAGGATTGAGATCTAATCTATAAGGCTCATTTATGCTTAATTACATACGAAACTGGATATGGACGAAGCTTTCCGTCCGTGATTTGCATGCTCTTTAAAGCGAATGAAGTTAGGGTCAAACACACTGTAACACCAAGTTAGACAACTCCGTCAAGAGATGAATGTTGTCGACCGCTTGCTTCTCTAATTATACCAACTTTAGTAACGACCGCAGGATAGCAGCCATAGTACTAGCCACCAAACATCCTTTTAACTTTGCCTGATTTCTAAAGCAAAGAGAGTGCTGTGGCTGTGACCCTATATGTCCTGTTGATGAAGTTAGGTGCTGTTCTGAGCATTATTTGTGGCTATAGAGTGGCATTTTGGTTGAGAGCATGGCTCTTTGTATTGCTATCTGCAGTCATTACTAAAGTTGGTATAAGTTTACGGATATGGGCCAGATGGAGCAGTACCACCGGAAACTGTGGGGGCAGTGTAGCTGCTGTATCACAGTACTGAAAATGACAATCATCGTCAATTTCTGTCATTGGTACGACTAGAGAAAAGAACTATCTGTTCAACAACTGTGAGGTATTTAGTCGCCTGACCGACCACTGCCTCCTCCAACGCTGTCTCCGTTTCTGTCTCCTATGCAGTCGCCATGTTTCTTTTTGTTTGTTGTTATCAGAACTTTTTGATTCCGGCCTGCCCCCTGCTGGATGTAATCGACACATGGAAGTATGTGGTCGGTGACGGAACTATTGTTCGAAACAGACGCGTACATTTTCATGCATATGGCGAGCACAAATGAGCCTTAACAGGTACACTGGAGGCTTTTCCTTCAGGCTCAGCCCCCCCTCTTCTTCACGAACTACCAATGATCGGCATCATAAAGAATATTTGCCGACCTTTGCTTTAGAGTGACAAAATTTGACTTATTAAGACGTATGTAGGAGGATTTTTACAGCAAAATACTGTATCTCTTGGACAGGGTAAGATCTGTTTGGGGTCCTGTACCTCATCAAGACCCTGAGATTAACTCCCTCACTCTCCGCCCAGAGGGAGAAATCCACTTTTTCCTGGCACTGAACCACGACCCTGGACTCTGAGGAACTGACCCTCATCCCAGTCCTCGAAGATTTGTCCGGTTAGTATAATCCTTCTGTTTAAAAACCTATTCTCAACAATCTCTCAAATAGAGACTCTTTAACCTCCCTGTTCAATAAAACATGATGCCTCAGTGTAATATTCAGTACAGTGTTCATCTGTAAAAACATCAGCTTCATGAACTCCAGCTGCCTTTTTAATGCGGTACTGCCAAAAAAAGAAACGAGTCACTGTGTAAAAGTTCGGCTCTAATTCTTTGTCGCTACTAAAAGCAAAATCCTCCCTCAAGGTGAAGCTCCTGACAACTTTCTTTTAGCTCACATCTGGAAGAGATTTGAATGAGTTTTGTGAAGTTTCTCATCGTAAAACTCTTCATGAGTTTGATTTGTATGTTCAGAAGCTCAGAAATTGAAACCTTATTGAACGAGAACTACTTATTTCAGATGTTGTGACTCATTTTTTTTTTTGAACCTATCATTTAACCTGAGGAATTGTCACACCTCGGCTTTGAAAATCCATGAATATTGTGCCACATTTGATGAGGCTCCAATTCTTTCGCTTCCTTCAAATCTCATCATTTTCTTACAACCAATGCAAGCCAATGAAGTTTGACACTCGTCTCCCTCTTAAATTTGCATTTAAACTATCTAAACCCTCAGAGGAGACAAAATGAGTCGGACTTAGGCAGATATTACGCCTGATTTGAGCTGTTTGTTGAATGTTGAAATAGTTTCTTTGCTCAGAGGTAAAGAGGGTCACCTTTTGTGTCCCCTTTGTCGAATAACTTTTAGTGTGCACTTAATGTCAAATGTCTTCATTAGGTGACAAGTTTGGACTGTAGGAAGGCCTGTTCAGCACCTGGACTCTTCTACTACAGAGCCATACTGTTGTAACACATGCAGAATGTAGACTTGTAGGCCCTATCTCCCATGGTCTTTGTTGTTTTTGTGGGTGTAGAAGTTCTTTGAGGTAGATAGGGGGCATGTCCATGGATGCATTGGTGTGTGAGGAGGGAAACTTCGTACTCAATCCAGGTGGAAACGGGAAGCCAGTGGAGTGATTGAAGGATGAGGGTGATGTGATCATGTTTGCGCACTCTCGTCGGGATCTTAGCCGCGGAGTTTTGAATGTATTGGAGTCTCAAAACTCTGCTGATTTACATCCAAACACCATCAGGGATCCTGCAAAGTGGCCCCTCCTCTCTAGATGCTGCAACCATGACTTCTAAGAGGAGGGTCAAATCTTGAATTGTCATACCGAAATGTAAAATTCAACCTTGCTTAATTCCATTTTAAACGAGCTAAAATTAAAGAAGTTGCTGGTAATTAAAGGGTCTTTTATGTGACAGTTTGAACCTGTATATGCAGCGATAAATTCTCAGGCAGTGGTTTTGGGATGTGATTTTGGGCCCATACCGGGATTTTAACAGCAGAGGGACAGGAGATCGTGACTATCCAGTATCATTCTTAGGTACATAGTCATGGGATTGCTGAACTATTTGCTCACGCAGTCTCTCACAAAGTGATGAACCTCTTCTTAACTTACTACTTAATATTTCTGAGAGACCCCCTGAATCTCCTGGAGGTGGGTTTGTATAAATTAAATAGTTTAACTTGAGTTTGATAAGTGGGATCAGGATGTTCTTGGCAACAGATTGCTGTCAAGGAATAACACACCGTTGCTATGGGGTATCGACCAATCAGAATCAAGTCTTAAACACAGCTAAATGCCTAAAAGTGTGCACCACTGGGCCCTTATTCTGAAGATTCTGCTCTAGTATCAATGCTAAGTCACCTTTTTTAACCTTATAGTTACGACTCAACATGTTCTAGAGACCGGCTGATGCTTCAAGTCTCAAGGGCAAACACTTTACTTGGTTAAACTGCTTCAGCTTCTCTGCTGTATTCACATTAAAAACACACTTTGAACCAAAAGGTCAACCGTGAAGTTACACACTAACTTGACTAAACTGTACCTGCTCTTTGTGTTGTCCAAGTTTTTCGTACCTTGACATCCCTGAAAATGAGGGATTGACCTGAGCAAATCCTCAAGGTTCAAGTAAAAGTTGAGCTGATAATTTGAGCGGGGTCACTTCCGAAAGACGCAGATTTAACCTCAATGAAAACTTCCTTTAGCTCCTGTCACCCCTTTTATAACACGCCTCTTACAAATCAGTCATTTAACTATTCGGTGATGTCCTTGAGCAAACTCAGAAGTTCACCTGAGGCACATTATAGGTGCTAATTTTTCCACCGTGCTGAGTTACAGCAAGAAGTGAAAACCAACACTCCTCTGCTGTCAGTTATGTATGCAGTGAGTGACTTTGTCCATCAGGCATGAGTTGCACCGATGACCCCCAGCATCCAGGGAGTCAGCCTCCTGCCAGGAACCTCCACCTCTCACCTTGAGGACTCCTCATTTAATGCTGACCGATCACTGTGCAGACTGACACCCTGCTGACAGCGCTGATCACGAGCGAGATTCTGAACCCCAGCATCCCCTTCCAACAAAT